CAACCTCCGCCTCCCGGGTTCAAGCAATTCTCCTGCCTCAACCTCCTGCCTAGCTGGGACTACAGGCACATGCCACCACGCCCATCTAATTTTTGTATTTTTAGTAGAGATGAGGTTTCACCATGTTGGCCAGGATAGCTTGATTCTTGACGTTGTGATCTGCCCACCTCTGCCTCCCAAAGTGCTGGGATTACAGGCGTGAGCCACTGCGCCTGGCCAATTGTTTGTCTTTTTAAACAGTGGTGGATTATGCCTGGTGAATAAGAAAAGCCATGATATTCAAAGTATTTTAGGCATATTTTTTAAAAGCAAACTGCTTTTTTATTTTTATTTTTATTTTATTTATTTTTTTAAAGTTGGAGTTTCACCATGTTAGTCAGGCTGGTCTTGAACTCCCAACCTCAGGTGATCCGCCTGCCTTGGCCTCCAAAGTGTTTGGATTACAGGCGTGAGCCACCGCACCCGGCCGCAAACTTCTTTTTAAAAAAAACTATGTGTGCAAAGGTGACTCTAAATGTTAGGTATTGAGAACATAATTCTTGGTGTTAGACCAGTGGTTCTAAACTGGGATTGAGGGGTTCTTCTAGAGAATATTTGACAATGTCTGTCAATGTTTTTTATTGTTACATGTAGGAGGCAGGGTGGATGGGAGTGCTACTATTTGTAGTGGGCAGAGGCCAGGGGTACTTCTAAATCCTCAACATAAGATTGGCACCCCCCCACCCCCTGACAAAAAAGACCTATCAGCCCAAAATGTTAACAGTGCTAAGTTTTGAGAAACTGTTAGGTGATTGTGGCTTTTGAGCCTGTATGTAAGCCAGAATTGTAGAGGGATTTGTGCTTAAAATTTGTTTGATTTTCTTCTAGTCGGAATTGAGATGGGAGATTGGCAGGAAGTCTGGGATGAGAACACGGGATGCTATTATTATTGGAATACACAAACAAATGAAGTGACTTGGGAGTTACCCCAATATCTTGCCACCCAGGTACAGGGATTACAACATTACCAGCCCAGGTAAGAATAAATTCTTCTAAGAAATTGCCTAGAAGGAAATTGAAGTCTTATCTTTTGCTCATAGTATTTGTCTTGTATTTCTCTTGCTAAGTATATATTTTTTTTAGTTCTGTGCCAGGTGCTGAAGCTAGTTTTGTGGTAAATACAGAAATATATACTAAGGAGAAAACAGTTTCTATTTCCAGTAGTAAAAGTGGACCAGTCATAGCCAAGCGAGAAGTTAAAAAGGTCAGTGTTGAAACTTACCTCATTTGCTTTTTTTCAAATCTAATAAAGGTTACTTTGAGCACAGGAATAGAAACCGTCTCTTAATATTCTGTACTGTATATGTGAAATAGGATACGTTTCATAAAATTTCACTTCATTTGTTTCTGTATATTACGTACTTTATAGCAGTTACCCAGTTCACTGTTTTTTTGTTTTGTTTTGTTTTGAGACAGAGTCTAACTCTGTTGCCTAGGTTGGAGTGTAGCGGCACGATCTCGGTTCACTGCAACCTCTGCTGCCCAGGTTCAAGCGATTCTCCTGCCTCAGCCTTCTGAGTAGCTGGGATTATAGTTCATTTGCCACTGTGCCTGGCTAATTTTTGTATTTTTAGTGGAGATGGGGTTTCATCATGTTGACCAGGCTTGTCTTGGTCTTCCGACCTTGTGATCCATCCACCTCGGCCTTCCCAAGTGCTAGGATTACAGGGGTAAGCCACCTCGACTGGCTTTTTTTTTTTTTTTCTTTGATATACGGAGTCTCATTCTGTTGCCCAGGCTGGAGTGCAGTGGCGCTGTCTCAGCTTACTGCAACCTCCACCTCCCTGGCTCAAGTGATTCTCCTGCCTCAGCCTCCCAAGTAGCTGGGATTATAGGCACTCGCCACCAAGCCCAGTTAATTTTTGTATTTTTATCAGAGATGGGATTTCACCATATTGGCCCAGGTGGTCTCAAACTCTTGATCTCAGATGTCTTGTCTGCCTCGGTCTTCCAAAGTGCTGGGATTACAGGCAAAACTGCCCAGCAATTTTGTATTTTTTTAGTAGAGACGAGGTTTCACCATATTGGTCAGGCTGATCTTGAACTCCTGACCTCAAGTGAGCTACCTGCCTCAACCTCCCAAAGAGCTGGGATTCCAGATGCAAGTCACTGCGCCTGGCCTTTTTACTTACTTATTTTTGAGACAGTTTCTGACTCTGTCACCCAGGCTGGAGTACAGTGGATCAGCCATGGCTAACTACAGATTTACTCTTCCAATCTCAAGCAATCCTGCTTCATCCTCCTGAGCAAGGGACTACATGTATGCGCCACCATACCCGACTTTTTTTTTATTTTTGAGAGATGAAGTCTTTTTTTTTTTTTTTTTTTTTTGAGACGGAGTTTCGCTCTTGTTACCCAGGCTAGAGTGCAATGGCGCGATCTCGGCTCACTGCAACCTCTGCCTCCTGGGTTCAGGCAATTCTCCTGCCTCAGCCTCCCAAGTAGCTGGGATTACAGGCACGCGCCACCACACCCAGCTAATTTTTGTATTTTTAGTAGAGACGGGGTTTCACCATGTTGACCAGAATGGTCTCGATCTCTTGACCTCGTGATCCACCCGCCTCGGCCTCCCAAAGTGCTGGGATTACAGGCTTGAGCCACCGCGCCCGGCGAGAGATGAAGTCTTACCATGTTGCCCAGACAGATCTCCCAAACTCCTGAGCTCCTGCTTTGGCCTCCCAAAGTGCTTACATTATAGGTGTGAGCTACTGCATCCAGCCCTCCCCAAAAAAACTTTAAAATAATACAATCGAGCTAGGCACAGTGGCTCACACCTATAATCCCAGCACTTCTGGAAGCCAAGGTGGGCAGATCACTTGAGGTCAGGAATAGTTCGCTTTAATCTAAATCACCTTCATGGCATACCTACTACATTTTCTCATCAGGCCATGTGTGATTACACCTGTAATCCCAGTACCTTGAGAGGCTGAGGTGGGCAGATCACCTGAGGTCAGGAGTTAAAGACCAGCCTGGCCAACATGGTGAAACCCCATCTCTACTAAAAATACAAAAAAAAATTAGCCAGGCATGGTGGTACATGCCTGTAATCCCAGCTGCTTAGGAGGCTGAGGCAGGGGAATTGCTTGAACCCAGGAGGTGGAGGTTGCAGTGAGCCGACATCTCGCCATCGCACTCCAGTCTGGGCAACAAGAGTGAGACTTGGTTCCAAAAAAAAAAAATTATCTGGATGTGGTGGCACTTTCCTGTAATCTCAGCTACGTGGGAAGCTGAGTCAGGGAAATCGCTGGAACCCAGGAGGCAGAAGTTGCAGTAACTTGAGATCGCACAACTGCACTCCTGGGCAACAGAGTGAGACTCCCAAAACAAAACAAAAAAAATCTCATCATACAGAAGAAGGTAAAGATTTATCCAGTCATGTGATGAACTGACAAAATACTGATGTTAAATCTATCTGTTTATACTAGTCTGCCTTTTGACATCCTGAGAATAGCAGGGAGGATATATTTGGATCCCACCTAGAGCTAGGCTCTAATTCAATCAGTGTCTTTCTAAAGTAATATGATATAAATATATACTTACCTGTTGGGAGTAAGTGGTTTTTACCCTCAGTATTCAGCTACTGGAAACAGTTAATGTTAACAATTGAATGTATATACAGGTGAGATTTCTTTAAGAATTAAATGAGACTAAATTATTTTGTTCTTTATAGGAAGTAAATGAAGGAATTCAGGCTCTCTCAAATAGTGAGGAGGAGAAGAAAGGGGTGGCAGCATCACTACTTGCTCCTTTATTGCCTGAGGGAATAAAAGAAGAAGAAGAGAGATGGAGAAGAAAAGTAATTTGTAAAGAAGAGCCAGTTTCAGAAGTAAAAGAAATAAGTACAACAGTAGAAGAAGCAGCAACAATGGTAAAGCCACAGGAAATTATGTTGGACAATATAGAAGACCCTTCTCAGGAGGATCTTTGCAGTGTTGTCCAATCTGGAGAAAGTGAGGAAGAAGAGGAACAAGATACCCTTGAACTAGAGCTAGTTTTGGAAAGGAAAAAGGTAAGCTTTTCAGTTATTTGAAATATGTTTTTTCCTCAGTACTATTCTACAGGGATCATTGTGCTTGACTTACAAGCATTATTGGGGTTTTGTTTTTTTTTAATCCCATTATCCGGTTATGTTGAGACTTGTGCAGCAAAAACTTTAAACTACACAGTTGTAAGTTTTTGGTCCTTGATGATGCTTTTGATAGCTGATAATCAATGAAAATGGGTACCAGAAAAAAATAGAATGAGTAAGACCTGCTATTTGATAGCACAGTAGGGTGACTGTAGTCAGTAATAGTGTATATTTTAAAATAACTTTAAAGAATGGAGTTGGATTATTTGTAATTCAAAGGATAAATGCTTGAGGGGCTGGTTATCCCATTCTCCATGATGTGCTTTTTTCACATTGCATTTCTGTGTCAAAACATCTCAAAACCCATAAATAAATGCACCTACTCTGTAACCACAAAAAATTTATTTTATTTTATTTTATTTTATTTTTTTTGAGACGGAGTTTTCACTCTTGCTACCCAGGCTGGAGTGCAATGGCTCGATCTCGGCTCACCGCAACCTCCGCCTCCTGGGTTCAGGCAATTCTCCTGCCTCAGCCTCCTGAGTAGCTGGGATTACAGGCACGCGCCACCATGCCCAGCTAATGCTTTTTGTATTTTTAGTAGAGACGGGGTTTCACCATGTTGACCAGGGTGGTCTCGATCTCTTGACCTCGTGATCCACCTGCCTCGGCCTCCCAAAGTGCTGGGATTACAGGCTTGAGCCACCGCGCCCGGCCTATTTTATTTTTTTAAAGATGGGGTTTCACCATGATGGCCAGGCTGGTCTTGAACTCCTGACCTCAGGTGATCCACCCACCTCGGCCTTCCAAAGTGCTAGGATTACAGGCGTGAGCCACCGGGCCCAGCCCAAAAAATTTATAAAATTTTAAAAAAATGTTTTTGAGTAGGCCAAGTGCAATGGCTCATGTCTGTAATCCCAAAATTTTGGGAGCCTGAGCAGGAGATCACTTGAGTTCAGCAGTTGAGACCAATGTGAGAAACATATCCAGATATCATGTTTTATTAAAAAGGAAAAAACATGCGTGATGACATGTGTCTGTACTCCCAGCTACCTGGAAGGCTGGGTGCAGTGGCTTATGCCTCTAATCCCAGCACTCAGGGAGGCAGAAGCGGGTAGACTACCTGAGGTCAGGAGTTCGAGAACAACCTGACCAACTTGGAGAAACTCCGTCTTACTAAAAACACAAAATTAGCCAGATGTGGTGGTGCATAGCTGTAATCCCAGCTACCTGGGAGGCTAAGGCGGGAGAATTGCTTGAACCTGGAAGGTGGAGGTTGTAATGAGCCGAGATCATGCCATTGCACTGAAGCCTAGGCAATAAGAGCTAAACTCCGTCTCAAAAAAAGAAAAAAATGCTTCCTGTTCTCAAAGGATTTAAATTTCAACAACAACATAGTCATGGCTGTTATTCTGCTTAGACATATTGATAAGCAGTTAATGACACTAACTTAATTGTCATGTTCTTTGTAGGCAGAGTTGCGAGCCTTGGAGGAAGGAGATGGTAGTGTGTCGGGGTCTAGTCCACGTTCTGATGTCAGCCAGCCAGCATCTCAAGATGGAATGCGTAGGCTTATGTCTAAAAGAGGAAAATGGAAGATGTTTGTTCGAGCTACCAGTCCCGAATCTACCAGCAGGAGTTCTAGTAAAACTGGACGAGATACTCCAGAAAATGGAGAGACTGGTAATTTATGCTTTACATTAAACTTTAGAATTGAAAGATGTAGAGGGGAAGGAAACTCTTTTTTTGTTTTTAACAAAACAGGAGATTTTACTTCTACCCTTTGGGAGAAATAGTGGGAAGAGAGCTTCGTCTAGTGCTCTACTTTTTCCTGTTCTATTTCTTGTAAAGGAGTAAGAGTCCAAGAGGCTGACATCCACTGGGTGCTGTATTCAGAGCCCAGTCCCATTTCTTCTTTCTTTGTCTACATTGTCCAGCCCTCTGGGTGGGTGGACAGAGTTTGGTTATGTTGTGAGGACCCAAGTTGTCTTCATTTACGGTAATGAGGGCCTTACCCTTTATTCATGGTAAAGTCGAAGAGTTCCTGCTGCATTTTTCAGTCTATTTTCAGACATCCCCCTGGATAAAGCTAATATTTTAATCTCCATTTGGCCTTAATTCTTCTTTGTTTTTGAAACAGTCTCACACTTTTGCCCAGGCTGGAGTGCAATGGCATAATCTCGGCTCACTGCAAACTCTGCTTCCCAGATTCTCCTGCCTCAGTCTCCCAAGTAGCTGGGATTACAGGTGCCGACCACCACGCCTGGCTAATTTTTTGTATTTTTAGTAGGGAAGGGGTTTCGCCATTTTGGCCAAGCTGGTTTTGAACTTCTGACCTCAGGTGATCGGCCTGCTTCCACCTCCCAAAGTACTGGGATTACAGGTGTGAGCCATCGCGCCTAGCGAATTTTTTTCTTTTCAGTTGGCAGTTCAGAAGAACATGAAGGAAAATTATGTAAATCCTCTTTATCTTTTATTATTTCTCTCTACCCCTGTGGTCCATTCTTTTTCTTTTTTTGGGATGGAGTCTCGCTCTGTCCCCGAGGCTGGAGTGCAGTGGTATGATCTCTGCTCATTGCAACCTCCACCTCCAGGTTCAAGAGATTCTCTGCCTCAGCCTCCCAAGTAGCTGGGATTACAGGCGTGCACCACCATGTCCAGCTAATTTTTTTCTTTCTTTCCTTTTTTTAAGAGCAGAGTTTCAGCCGGGCACGGTGGCTCAAGCCTGTAACCCCAGCACTTTGGGAGGCCGACGCGGGTGGATCACAAGGTCAAGAGATCAAGACCATCCTGGTCAACATGGTGAAACCCCATCTCTACTAAAACTACAAAAAATTAGCTGGGCATGGTGGCGCGTG